GAAAGCCAGACATCGGGACATGCACCTGTTAGAGTACAAGGTCGCTACACTTTTGTCAGATCCACGAAGGTCGTGTAGCGTGGGTTCGCAAGCTTATCCAATTAACTGAATACTAACTGTTCTTTATTGTCCTCAAACTGATCTCTGATTTATAGTCTCCACAGATGAACTAACTAATAAATTGCATATTTGGTTGTCTTGAGACTTACGCCATGCCTTTTATAAATGAAATAGAGATGCAAATTGTACTTTTTGAAGAAAGAGAGAAGAAAATGCGATCGCTGGAACAAGCAATTAATTGGCCTGACTTTCTGGTTTCTTTTTCGAATCAGTCAGCAGAGACAGTAAAAGACAATGGTGACAGTGATGCAAGGAGAACAGTATTTATAGGAGGCAATTCCTTTGGCGCCCCTGTTCAGCGCTTAAGCTCAAAGTGATGCAATGGTTGTTTGTTAGTCTACGTCCAGGCTGCTAATTGCCGTGGTTTCACCACCGTTTTTGATTCTTGGCGCAATAGTGACTCAGCATTTGAGCTCGCTACCACTGTGATTGTTGGCCACCCATGCACTTCTCGCCTGAACATTTAGTCTGCACAGACAAAGTCTCGGCACAGCATACGGAGGCGGGAAGTCGTTACTCTTGGTAGTTGATGGCGGGTCGGAGAATCATGGCTCAAGCAGCTTGTGGCTCATGCGGTTGTTACTTTTTGCGAGAATTTAGGCCTCGTTAACCTTAAAGGCTTGGTCAGGTCCTGCCGCATGTGTCGCGGTCCGAGAGTTGACATAATTATTTATCACTGCGACATCTTCAGCCGCTCGCGTCCCGAGTAATCTCTCAGACTCCCCGACGTAATCGCGTTATTCACTACTGCGCTAAATTCAGTAAACGGCTCCAGACATTTCCTGCTGTTGAAATGGATCTTTCGACTTCATGACTCATGGCTTCATGGCAGGTCGTTTCCGATCTGTGGGCAACTCTGACTCCATTTGGGAAGACGGCAGCCGACCTCCAAAACGTTCTTCATGTACGGGAGCGTTTGACAAAATTTGCGGTCAGTTGGATTAGATCTCGCTTTTCTTTTGGTCATGCACCAGCTGACGAAATTGCGCTGGTAACCATTCATTCTAAGTGCCTGTCACTGATATTACAATTCAATAACCCTGTCTTCTAGTTCATTTCAATTCGTCTCACCATGCCCGTGTAACGACCTTATGCGCGTACACTTGTGGCTGATTAGTTAGTTGTTGTTGTTGAAGCTCAGCACTTGTGTCATACTGATCGTTTTCCTGAACGCTTTTGTGTTTAAGCCATCACAACCTGATGCCCCCACACAGACTTATATGCGACTGTCTTTGAAAACAGGCCCAAAGCTATCATGTGTAATCGGGCGATAATAATCAAAGACAGACTAAATCCCAGCTAGCGTTTGGTGGTAGTTTACCGCATCCCATGTCTTAACTGTCAATTTAACTACATAGGTCAGCCTGAACGCATGCTAGATTTCGCATACACGAGCATAAGCTGGCTGTACGATGGGGCAGCGAAGTATCGTAAGTTGCGGTTCACACATGTGTACCCTCGCAGCCGTTACGATAATCGCCCATGCCGGAAGCAAGACTAGCTAAGACTTGATTGAAGCCCGGGTCCACGGATGGGAA